TAGTAAAAACTGTTGATAAATATAATTATTTTTTGAAAAATTTAAGACAAGCAGAAAGTTCTTTGAATCATTTAAATCGGACGTTTAGTTTTCTCAAAAACTGCCATTTTTGACACATTTAGCTCCGTATCTTCGAAATGGCTGAGTTTGCCTTTGCCAAAAACTAATGAACACTGTGCAGATTATTTTTCTGCAAAGGCAGGTCCAGCCGTTTTGAAGATACGAGGAAAAAGTGCCACACATGATAATTTACTTTTCGAGAGAACAAAGCGTTCGATTTAAATGATTCGAAAAACATTATATTAGTTATTTAATAAACATATTAGTTTATATAATAAGTAAAATTATTTTAAAATACGGTTCAGGAATTTCCAACAATTTGCTTTACGGTACGATGCCATGGAAAATCAGTTTTATATTTATCAAATCCAAATGTTTACAAAAAGTACAATAATACGAAAATATAAAGCAAAATAATAAAATAATAGTGGCAGATAAGCATGAGATGTTTTCACATATTTTTAAGTGTGCATGTGTAGTATTAGTTAGTGATTTCAACAATATACTATATTTGACATCACAAGATAATTAAATTACAAAAGCATTAATAAAATATCTCTTCACATTCATCTCTTATATGTTTTTTTAATGGTTATGCATTTAATATTTAAGTAGTAATCAAAACTCTTCTTAGCATTCTCTGTATCTCAATTAATCCATTGTAATTCAATGATAGTTCTTGAGATGAAATTGAAGTTTTACATAATTCTGATTCTGATAATATCACAATATTGCCGAAAATTCTACTTACACTTAAAGTATGTTTAATCTATATTTTCAAGTCTCCAAGCTCTCGCTGTATAATAAATTACTGGTATACAAATGCGTCATAAAACGCGTTTGGACTTACGGTATCGAGTTATGGGGATGCGCAAGCAAATTCAATATAGTAATGATACAAAGATGTCTAAACAAAATACTAAGAAATATTGTCAACGCACCGTGGTACATAACTAACCACGCTATTCATAAAGATTTAGATATTCCATACGTCACAGATGTCATCAAGGACAGAAGCTCGATCTACCTCTCAAAAATTGAGTGCCACTACAACCAGCTCATTGCTTCTCTAATCGACCATTCATCACTAAGAAGATTGAAAAGATGCTGGCCAAGCGACCTTAATGAAACACTAGGCTTCACTCATTGGAATAAAACTCTAGTTAATTATTTCTTTTTTTTTTCTTTAATATAATTATTATTATTATTATTATTATTATCATTATTTATTTACTTATTTATTTATTCATTATTATTATTATTATTATTATTATTATTATTATTATTTATTATATTTTTTTCACCTTTGTGTCACAATAGCTTATAAGAGAAATTGTATCTTGATTGCTATAAATAAATAAATAATAAATATAAAAAAAAAATATATTTTCAAGTAAAAACGTAGCCCAGGCAGAATCCGGGTTTCATCACTGTTTTACGAGTCTCCATATCCGAACTTGAGATTGATTCATATTCGTCATGAAGTATAAATCACACACAACTACTATATTTATGAAGTAACGTATTCATTATTTCCCAAAGTGTTACATTTTTAATAATAACAACCTATGCTTATATGCCATGTTTGAACAAAATGAGTGGAAAAATTCCTTCAATTCAATTCCGCACGGTCTATCGGATGGTGCATGAAGAGATGAAATCTGATAACATTACAATGATTCGGAAGAAATCGTTGGGCGATGACGGTTTTGCAGATGCTGCAAAGGACCCGATCGAATACTTATTCATACTTAACTGCACAGGTGAGATTTATACGCGATTTCATGGACAATACCGAAGAACGAAAGTCACATGCAGCGAGGAAAAATTGTGAAATTTATAAAAGGACTTAGAATTCAACTGCTGGTGAACACTTCTCATATTATTTCGAGAGAGCAAATTTTTTCATAAACAGGGTATGACGTACATTCTATAAATGATTTATTATTATATGAAGTAGAATTTACGGTTCTACCAGGGTACTGTAATGACAGTCATCATTACAGCTAAATATAGAATAAATAAAGAAATTAATTAACTTAACTAATTAGAAATAAAGAATTAACTAACGTAACTTAGACAAAATATGACAGAAAAAGAAGAGAAAAATCCGATACAAGAAAAAAAATCACAATGAAATATTGTTAACTTTTCACTTCAGTAAAAATGTATATCCAACATCCGTAAATCCAGCGTAAAACAATTTTAGTTTTATTTGTGTTCGTCAATATTATTTTTCTAATTAACTTTTCCTAAGGTAAGTTAGAGTAATCGCAAAAAAATTTAACATGAAAATATTTATATATCTTCACGTTTCAAAGATTTCTGAACATTTTGGTATTCCTTAGAAAAAATCGATGTTTGTGTGTGTGTTTGGATATAAATTTTCGTCGACAATTTGGAGAACGCGGACCAACCGATTTGAATAATTCAAAAAATATTTTATTTGCATTGGAAAGGCAAGTTAATCAGTTTCAATAAAAAAAGTAACAAAATGCGGTCAAAAATGATCATTAGACACATGCACATCAAATAATCAGATACTTTAATAATGTGTTAACATTTTGCGTCATTTTTTTGAGTTTTGTATCAAGATTTTTTATTTTAAAGTTCACTGATATGACACAAACAAATGTCTTCTACATTTTCGACAATATGAAATAACCGATTTGATTAATAGAAAAAACATCCGGTTCGTAATTAAGCACAACTGATAAAAAAATTGTCATGCAGTTTTTGAGAGAATAGATCATCCGACTAGATTAATTCAAAAAACATTTTGCTTGTGTAAACGGCGTGAAAAAAATGATTTTACAAAAAACTTCGTAATTTTAAAAATTTTCAAAATAAATTTAAAGTTTTAAAAAATTCTAATTTTCTTAATGTTTCATTTTGAAATCTAAATTTTGAAAAATTTCAACAAATATTAAAATTAAAAAAAATCGATTTCTTACAAAAATTTTAGAATATTTAGAAATTTAAAAAAATTGAATATGTTCAAAAATTTCCAAAAAATTGAAAAATATGAATTTTAAAAAAAGTTCAAAATTATCAAATAAAATCAAATTGAAAAAAAAATTGAATAATTTTTTTTAAACATACGCATAAGTTTGTAGAATATGCTCGTCGCCCAATTTAATAGGCAATTACAGTATGTGTTTATAATAATTAATCGATTTGAAAATATTTAAAACAATGGTAATTGATTATAGAGTAATTTTCATTGATTATTTTCATTCCTCAAATGTTTAGTTACGGTATGGGATGTTTTAGCAATTTGCCTTAGGGCAATATGCCATGCACCACTAGTTTTAGTAATACTTGATCAAACAAAATGTTCTACAGAACGTGTTTCGACAAACTAAAACCGATACCGTACACAGCTCTGATGTAATCCATATAACTACCGATGTATGGCATCGTGAACTTTCTGTACTGTTATGAAATATTCGAAAAAAATTAAATGGTTTCAAATATATTATTATAAAAACAGCAGCTTTTATTATATGTTTTTCATAGACAAAAAATAAGAACTCAAAAATAAAATTGGGCGACAACGTTTATATATGTTTACATGAAAGGAAAAGAAACAAAATTTATACATGCGGAGTTAAAATAAAGAGAATGAAATTTCTAATTTTCATATTGTCTTATTCAAAATGTTTTTTGAATCATTCGAATAAGATGCACCGTTTTCTCAAAAACGGTAATTTTTAGCACTCTTTGCTCCGTAACTCCTAAATAGGTATCTCCTAAAACTAACCAGCACGTCTCCGCTGTCAATACGAATCGAATGCATTTTGAATCAATCTAATCAGATGCGCCATCGCAAGAGCCGAATTCCTATTTTCTGCACTCTTTGCGCCGAAACGGCTGAACCTGTCTTGCCAAAAAAGTAATCAGTAGATCTCCACATGAGTAGGAACAAATTCAAATCGGTCGATGCTCCCGAAAACGTCGACGACAATCTGAACCTACACAAAACACATACTATTCACTTGCATAAATCAATTTTTTAAGTATGCCAAAATGTTCAGGAACTTGTGAAACGTTAAGATATGCAAAAATTTTCATTTTAAATTTTAGGACGATTACAATAACTTACCCTACAAAAAGTTTTAAAAAAATTTACATTTTTCAAAAAAGTCAAATTTATTTAAAAATTTCAAAATGATTACACTAGTTATGTGTATTATATTTGCCTACACTCATTTCGGCACACGTTTTTGAATAACTAAATTAGCAATAGTCGTTATGACTTTTTGAACTGGTTTGACAATTTGCGCAAAAAGATTTGGCTCACTGGATTTTTTAAATTCAATTGTTTTGATGACATACTTGATACATTGATTACGATTTTTTTCTTGTTTCAATTTTAAATTATAGTAGTATGCTGCGAGGACGATAACAAACGCGCTATATAAAATTCTACTAAAAAATTTTGAATTATATTTTTTTATAAATTTTAAAGTAAGAGTGAGGAACAAAATAAATGTAAGTAAAATTAATTATAAAAACCTTTTTTTGTATTACCACCTAATGTATTTTGTAAAATAATCTTGATTTTTAATTTTTTGAGTTTTCTATTTTATGTCAATGACAAATGTCATTTATATGTTACAAAGTTTTTTTACGAATGTCATTTATATGCTACAAATTTAATGGTATGCTAACTTGATATGGAGATTTTTTATTTATGGGCGTTTAATTTATTCGAATTATCTAAAATATTTGTTACCTTATCCGATATTGATTTTCAAATGTAATTTTGCTCTTACATCACTTATATTAATGAAATATTTATTAAAATTAATTGAAAATAATAAAATTATTAATTAGTATTAATTCCAATTTTCAGTTTAAGTTATGATAATTAGATACAACAGTATTTGAAATAGCATTCCCATACGCTACTAGTTCTATTAATTATATTTCCGCAGTTCAGCACCATGTTGTCAAGGAGGCATACGAGAAGGGAGGCAAAATCAAGAACTAACAGTTCGACTACCCTGTCAGAAGTATCGATTTATGAAACAAAAAAAGTAATTGAAAAATAAAATTAATAATAAAATTAGTCAATACAACTAAAATAACATCATAAAAACAAGAATATGAATTTAGTATGATAGGCATTTACTAAGACTTCGTAATTTAAAATAAAATCAATAAAGAATATATTAAAAAATATATATAGATTTCATTTATCATATTGGTTTTCACTTGAAATTATAGATAGCAAAATATTTTCAGTAAAAATGTCCCGTATCTGAAAGCATTAAAAAGTAATAAATAAGTTATATTAAAAATTCATCACAAAACAATCGGGTAATTGTTGGGGTTGTTATCTATAAACGTTGTTATAAGTCAAAATTTATTACAACTATAATACCCATAAGTTCTGAGTTTTGTTCAAATAACTATATATATATATATATATATATATATATATAAATATAATAATTCATATTATTATTTATATTATTATTATTTTTGCAGAAACGTGTTGCTAGAAATTCTGGGATTCATAAGAGGTATAGACTATCCCCCGAATTAGCCAAATTAATTGGTAGTAATGAACCCGAGACACGGTACAATGTGGTCAAATTAATATGGATTCAAATCAAGGAAAGAAAACTCCAGGATCCGGAAGACCCTGCCTACATCGACTGTGACGAAGAATTTGAGAGCGTGACCGGGATGGTGCGCCTCAAAGGCTTCACCATCATGAAGTATTTGAAGTCACACTTTCTTGAATAACATCAACAACACATATTGAATCATGCGATAAGACAGTAACAATAATTTGGAATCATTTAGACTTGTTTATTATCTGTGCTTGGAAACGTTCGTGTCCATCACTATTACCATTAAAAAAAGTGAACACGATTATTTTTCATTTATGATTTATTTTATACAATATTGACATTGTTATTGATTTTTTTTAACTTTCCGAAAGAGAAGTTTGCTTTCACGAAAGTATCCGATTTCCTAATTTAATGTATTCAAGTTCTCATTTGAAACTAAATTTGGAAAGAGTGTGTGTGTGTATGCGTATGTGATGTGTAAAACAGACGAAAACATTCTATTCCTATTGATAGGGAAATATGCAGATTAGTTTTTGGCAAAGGCAGGTCTAGCCGTTACGGAAATACGGAGCAAAGAGTGCAGAAATTACAAATTGAGTTTTCGAGAGAAGTGAGCGTCCGATTTGAATGATTCAAAAAACTTTCTGCTCGTTTCAACAAAATAATTGCTTGTGGGAAAAAAATTTTTGTTCCAATTTTTTTTTCATTTTTTTTTGTATGTGAAAAACAATTCAGGTTTTAATTTTAATTCTGACTAAGTTCTAATATACTCTAAACAAATAACTTTGAAATACAGTTTATATAATACTTATAAATATTAGTCAGTCTAACAATATTTATAATAATCTATTCGGAAACATTTATTATTCCTCGAACGTTTCGTCGTTACGGTACGGGAAGTTCGAGCAAATTGCTCTAAGGCACTATACCATACACCACTTGTTTTCTTGTTTAATAAAATATGACTTTAACTAGCTGTAAGTGGAATTCTGTCTTAAGGCAATTAGGGCATCGTGCCTTAAGGCAAATTGCTGGAACTTTCCGTACCAAAAATTATTATTTTTTTTTTAAACGATTAACTTTTTTGAAAAAAAAATTACTTTGAAAAAATAAGATTTTTGAGAAACTATAAATTGGACAAAAAATTAGTTTTTTTTGAAAAAAAAAAAAATTAAAAAAATTTTTTTTTTTTAAATTTTTTTTTAAAAATTTTTTTTTTTTTTTGAAAAAAAATTTTTTAACTTCCCGTAGGGCAAGTTATAGTAATCGCAAAAAAATCAAAAATGAAAATTTTTATATATCTTTACGTTTCAGAGGTTTCTGAACATTTTGGCATACCTTAGAAAAAATGGATGTATGTGTGTGTGTGTGTGTGTGTGTTGTGTGTGTATGTATGTATGTATGTATGTGTGTGTATGTATGTGCGGATACAAATTTTCGTCGACGATTTCGGGAACACGGATCAACCGATTTGAATAATTCAAAAAACATTAGATTTGTATTGATAAGGAGACGTGCTGATTAGTTTTTGGCGAAGGCAGGTCTAGCCGTTCCGAAGATACGGGGCAAAAAGTGCCGAAAACGGTAACTCAGTTTTTAAGAGAACGGAGCGTCCGATTTGAATAATTCAAAAAACATTTCACTTGTATTGACAAGATGAAGAATCGATAAAATTTTCATGAAGGTAGGTCTAGCGGTTTCGGAGATATGGAGGAAAAAGTAAAAAAATGAGCCATTTGGCGGTTAAAAATGATCATTAGACATATGCACATGAAATTATCAGATATTTTATAGAGATTTTAACAATAAGTATACATTTTGTTAACATTCCTATGGGTTCCGTACCAATGCTTATGCGTTAGACATTGACGCGGGGCTTACGCGCTTTATATTTTGTCCCTATGCAGTTAAAGCAGTACGATTGCTTTGAAAAGAAAGTTCAGATCTTCCACAATATGTCAAAATAAAGAAAAAAGATTTTTTCTCAAAAAAAAAAAATATATTTAAAAAAAAAAAATTTTTTTTAAAAAAAAAGTAATTTTTTGTCCAATTTATAATTTCTCAAAAATCTTATTTTTTCAAAGTAAATTTTTTTCAAAAAATGTTAATCGTTTTTAAAAAAATAATAATTTTTGGTACGGGAAGTTCCTGCAATTTGCCTTAGGGCACGATGCTTTAATTGCCTTAAGACAGAATTCCACTTACAGCTAGTTTTCTTTATTTTGACATATTGTGGAAGATCTGAACTTTTTTTTCAAAGCAATCGTACTGCTTTAACTACATAGAGACAAAATATAAAGCGCGTAAGCGCCGCGTCGCTGTCTAACGCATAAGCATTGGTACGGAACCGATAGGAATGTTAACAAAATGTATACTTATTGTTAAAATCTCTATAAAATGTCTGATAATTTGATGTGCATATGTCTAATGATCATTTTTGACCGCCAAATGGCTCATTTTTTTACTTTTTCCTCTATATCTCCGAAACCGCTGGACCTACCTTCATGAAAGTTGTATCGATTCTTCATCTTGTCAATACAAATAAAATGTTTTTTGAATTATTAAAATCGGACGCTCCGTTCTCTTAAAAACTGAGTTACCGTTTTCGGAACTTTTTGCCCCGTATCTTCGGAACGGCTCGACCTGCCTCTGCCAAAAACTAATCATCACGTCTCCTTATCAATACGGATCGAATGTTTTTGAATTATTCAAATCGGTTGATCCGTGTTCCCGAAATCGTCGACGAAAATTTGTATCCGCACATACATACACCACATACATACATACACACACATACACACACACACACACACACACACACACATACATCCATTTTTTCTAAGGTATGCCAAAATGTTCAGAAACCTCTGAAACGTAAAGATATATAAAAATTTTCATTTTCGATTTTTTTGCGATTACTATAACTTGCCCTACGGGAAGTTAACAAGTGGTGTGTATGGCGTGCCTTAAGGCAAATTGCTGGAACTTCCTTTAAATTTCCTAAAGTTTACAGCATTTAGAAACTACGCCAGATGTTGTACTTTCAAATTCTATTTCATAGTAAAGATTTTTATTTTTTCCATTATTAAAAGAATTTAACTACATTCTGCAGCTTTGAAATGCAAGCCCATTCTACAATCCTTATTCAATTGGAGCCGAATCAAGAAACTTGTAAAATATATCGCTTTCAAACTGCGGACGTTACCCCGGACAGTGTAATTGGATCGGTTCGGACATCGCGGTCTATGATCTCAGACCAATGCTCGAAATCTCATTCCAAGAACATACTTTTTGTCATACAATCGCTGTAATAATCCAGAACAATTGTTGTCGAAAATTAATTTTCTTATACACTGGTACGATTCTCTTAAATGTTGACTGCGCAAAATACTAGTTGGAGATGTAATTAATTTTCTAAAGTATAATCTTTGAAAAAATACTTTTCGAATGTGGAACTATTCGTAATAAATTGTTATTTTTAAATTCCCGTACGGTAAGTTATAGTAATCGCAAAAAGTCGCAAATAAACATTTTCATATATCTTCACGTTCTAAAGGTTTTTGAACATTTTGGCGTACCTTCGAAAAAATAGATGTATGTGTGGTTGGATGTTTGTAGGGAGATGTGCTATTAGTTATTGGCAAAAGTGGGTTTAGCCGTTTCAAAGATACTACTGGCCAAAAATGGTATTTCAGTTTTTGAGAAACCGGAGCGTCCGATTGAATAATTACAAACACATTTTACTTGTATTGACGAAATGTACAAATAGTGAATTTTAGTCCAGCGTTTCTGGGAATACAAACGAAAGTAAGAAACAATGCCATTTGTCGGTAAAAAATGATCATTAGACATATGCATATCATATTATCAGATATCATAATAAAAAGTACAAATTTTGTGTACATTTAATGGGTTCCGTGCCAATGTTTACACATCAGACTGCAAAGCGGCGCTTATGCGCTTCGATATTTTGACTCTAAAAGAGATATGCAGCGCGATTGCTTTAAAAAAAATTATCAAAATTTACAAAAAAGTTCATAATATATAAAACACCAAAGCCATGAGGTTTTTTATGTAAATTGAAAAATTGTTGATAGTGCTTCTATATCACGTAGAAAAATATTTTTTCGTAGTATCAGTCACACTAAAAAACAAATTTAAAATTCTCATCAAATTCTACAAATGCATAATATCGTTAACATTGCAGCACAAAGTTCTAAAATTAACTTTGATTTGACTGGGTCTTTTATTACAAATATAAATACCTGTGCAACTAGATAACCCGACAGACGTTGTCCTGTTCCCATGTCTACAATTTTTTAATATAATATACAAATATTTACCGTTTACCGAAAAATAATAATTATTGTTTACTCTTTACGCCAAAATGCATATACAATTATAATATGAGCGATGTTAAATGTCGAACTGCTTTAAATAAAATGATATAACATAACCATAATCATAACATAACACTGGTACTTCATGTTGGATTAAATTAATTTAATTTTTTATTATTTATCCAAAATTTCATCTTAAACTTCTCCTAATCGATATCGTGAGGGCCGAGTTATATGTATTGATCATTACTTTTCCATTTGTTTTATAAAGTGAAATTTTTACGAATTTTAAAAATATTGTGGAAAGATTAGTAAAAGATGCAAATAACTTATATATTGAAAACAAAACTACATATATTGAACATTTAATATCCGAATCTTGTGTTGGCGCCCCCTAAGACGTGCGCTCGTAATTTCGCTTGCATCGCATTAAAGGTAGAACCGGCCATGATTAATACTTAATTTCATTTTTTAAGTAAATTAATAAGTAAATTAATTTGTCATATCCTGTTCATATGTGTATCATTCAATCTGCCATACATATACTGTATTTTATATTATTTTAATTTCTGGCACATCTCTGCTGCTTTTTGGCAATAATAATGTAGACATTTCATTTTTTCTTATTCATAATCATAAATTTATTATACATATTCTAATATTGTCCATGTTCTTATGAAATTGAAATTTTCGGCAGATGATAGTTTTCATTTGTTTTCAATGCAAACAATGACATGTCGTTTTTTTGCATTATTTCATTTATTTCTACAATATTGCACATACA